TGGGGAAAACACACCTACACCAGTCACAGTGAGACAATTCTCTGTATTTAGCCTAACAACAGTGACACTGTGAACTGCATCCACTCCTCTGTATACAGAGCTTAAAAACCTACAGACAGTTATGATAGCCTTTTACAGACCTTTGCTTTGCCTTGCTAAAGAGCTTTAATTCTACGTCCATAAAAGAACAAATCAAAATTATGCATGACTCAGTAACACGAGTGTAAGTTAAACATAAACAAAAAGCAACGGGAAAAATAAATCAGCCTTGCAAAATCACACATATGAAATAAAGTAGCAAACACAGCATGTCATTCAATATATTCACAATTTCTTCAGCTTGATCAAGTTTTTCCTGTAGTATTGCAAGAAAGAAATCCATACTTCCTTTAGAAGTGTAATCATCTCACTGCGCAGTAACTGAATATGACATGCAGTTCTACTGCAAATAATTAAAGATCCATAAATCAACACTTACCATCACACCTGAGAAACAGATGCCTTCAAAATACCACACGTAGTTGGGATGCTGGTAACTAGCAACATATGAAGCATTCCCATTAGGGAAGTATAAAAGGATATTAACAACAACGCTCCAAAGCGCAAGAGGGACCAGCAGACAGCTCAAACAGCTTCCACATGTTTCTAAAGCCATCTCTCAAGAATATTAGAAGTTTTGCTCTTCTAAGCTAAAGAAGATTACAAGGTTTCAAATACAAAAAGTGTTCTGACCTCCTGTTTGATTCAGTCACTTCATACAACTCCACTGCTACAGAAGTGTTTAATTGTTGGTAGAACAGACAAATTCTATTTGTCTATTTGCCTAAACTACCCGTCCTTTCTGAACATATGTCTTTAAGCAGCAGTTTCCCTTCTCAAAGATCCTCCTTAATGATCCTCCTAATAAAATACGTCTACAAGTTAGACTCAGGAAGGAACATAAAAAAAATCTCACTTCCTAGTGACCGCTTAGAAACACACTCGTCCTGTTGAAATGGATTCCTGTGCAGCTATTCTGCAGCATGAGGCAAACGGTTCATCATTACTATAGCAATAATTTTTTCTGACCTTACATGGGCTGTTTGATGGATGTCAAGCATCTGCACAAAAGTCCACATTGCCTCAAAGTTCATGCAAATATTGGCCTAAGAGCAATAGCTATTACTATTAGAAAATTGTAGCAACACAAATCTAAAGGAAACGGAGGTCCCTTCAATACTCAACTGCACACACGGGCTCCCATGGAGCCCAGCACTGGCTCCTGACGCAGGTATCCCTTCAGAAACACTAACTTGAGTCTCGGGCACAACACAGGGCACACACAAGCCCGAGCAACACCAGCTTGAAACTGCCAGGCAGATATAATCACATTTTGTTATTATTTTCAGCAGAATGATGAACTGTCTGATGAGATAAATCCTGCTATTTTGCAGTGTTTTATTCTGTACTTACACTTGAGCATGTATGGTTACAGATCTGACCTAAGTACACGACAAAAGGTCTGGCTGCTTTTTGAAATGCATTTGTGGCTCTGCACTGTGAGAAGCAGGAGCCAGGCACTTTCCTCATTTTCATTTGTCATTGTTCTGACAGCCTTATGCAACTAACCATCCATTCCAGTACAGCAGAACCAGAGCTGTTTGAATGTCAAAGCACAACACACACCTTCTTCTCTTGCCCTGGTAAGTTATCAGAAAAGTAATTAAAGATCAAGCTTAATGTTTACTTAACAGGAAGTTCAACATTAGAGAAAAAAAAAGGGGGGGATCTTTTAGAATCAACGATGTCATTTTTTATATATTTCCCAAGGAAATGGGCATGGTGGTACTCACACAACTGCACCATTTTTTTTCCTATCTATTTTTGTGACTCTCCCTTTCTCACTTTCTTTCCCCCAAGAGATTCACTTTAAAGCCCTCAGATGTTACCCTGAAGTTCTTCCCATATTTTCTCTTTATTCCCTGATCACTATGGGCACGTTTTCAGGCCCCCCTCTAACTGGAACCAGTGACAAACCTTCCCCAGCACACTCACAGATATGGTACCAGTACTGTGCCTTACTGCTAATGGAAAACAGCTGAATTAAAAGCAGGCACATCAGAACCCAGGATTGACTTTTACCACTAGACTCATAGTTCATTTAGTAGGTCAAAATCTTTTCTTGTTTTTTTTTCTTCCTAAAAGCAAAGGTCTGAATTACTACTGAGTGGGCAACTTCCCATAGCAATGTGCTCTGTTTAGAAGAAACTCACTAAGAAAATGACACCTGAAACAGCATCCATTCTAGTGTACCAACACACCGCATGACTTACTTCATATTTAAACTGAGCTCTGCAAATGTCACATCAAAGAGTGTTTTGCTGCCACACTGCACTGCCAGAACAGGACACCACCATTTTACACCAAGTATTAAGCAAGCCTGGCAATTAGTCTCTCAAATATCTTAAGTGCTGCAAGAGCTGGATTCCTGTTGCTTGCCAATATCCATGAGTCCATGCAGAGCTCATTACTGAAAACCCTTTGTTGACTTTGGATGAAGGACTGTACTGCTAACCTAAATGAATCTAACCCCAAACAACTGCTTTTCTACAATGTAACTAATAAAACTCCCCAAGCTCAGCTATTAGGCACTGAAGGAATTCAAGCAGCTTATTTTAACAATAGCAACATAAACACTGAGTGGCGACATTAGTGGTGCTACTCAGATCTGAGCTACAGCTTTAGTTCTAAATTCTCCCCTAATCATTCTGTTCATTGGCATGCCTAACCTAGCTTCAGTTCCTTAATTAGTTACGTGTACCAGAAACACAAGTAATAACTATGCAAGTGCACAGGTAAAATCTTTAAATTTTCTGGGAATTATACCATATTCCATCATATTTTGTCCTCGTCCTCCTATCCTTCATTTCATACCCAGTTTAACCTTGCAGATCTTCTTTCAAATGCTTTTTCATATACAAAGACATCATACTGTACAGCAACAAGGCACTGAGTGTGCATACATGCACCTCTTCTTTCCCACAGTAGTGCAAGACAGGGATAAATACAGAGAGCAGAAGCTATACAAAAGCGTGCCCTCACCTAATTCTGCATACTTCATGTATGAGTGAGTGGTATTGCAAGAACTACTTGTTTGTGTTTAGAAACTCAGCATTCCTCCTATTGAGGGGTTGTTTTTTGATTTCTTTTTGCTGCCACAGACCTGTGCGTGCAATTTCCCATTTTCAGTTAACTTCCTTTAACAGAGAAAGATCAGTAGGTGACAGACTTGGACAGGAGGAGAGAGTGAGGAAAAACCTCAAGTTTCTGGCTACTTTTAAAGATCACTCTCCTAGTCAAAAGTAGGACTAAATATGCACTGACACCTGTAGGAAATTCTTTTTCCCCACAAACATAAATTAACTTGTCCATTTTCATATAAGACATTATCTGCTAGATTCCAAAGTGGAGAAGTAATGGTAGCCAGTCTCATTTTTTTTTTTTTAAACCAACATCATGTTTTGTTCTTTCTTGAAAAATGCCACTCCCAGCAGTACACTGACCTTCCCAGTAATGCTGTTGGCAGCATATCATTCAGGTTTACTTTACTATGGGGTAAAACATTTGCTGCAATTTGCTGCAAAATAAACTTCACACTCTTGCACCGGGTCTTTGGATACAGGGTCCAGGTTCCTCATTGGTCAAGTGTAATATTTCAAATTAGTCTAGTGCTGCTGGTCTGAATTTGAACTATAGTGCCATGCCTGGGGGCAGGCTGGAAACAAGAACTCAGACCCATGCTTTTTTGTTTCAAGACTAGGTAGGTAGTCAAGAGGTAAGCACTGCTCGTTCAGTCTTTAAACTCCTTTACTCACATCTCTTACTCTGACAGTATCTGCTGAATGGAAAAAGGAGGTTGTAACTTCACAGGATCACAGGGTTGCCAAGGACTTCTGCAGGTTATTCAGACTAACCCCCCCTTCCAAAGCAGGCTCCCTACAGTAGGTTTCACAGGAAAGCCCTCAGGGGAGTTCTGAACACCTCCAGAGAAGGAGACTCCACCACTTCTTCAGACAACTTGTTCCAGTGTTCTGTTACCCCTGAAGTAAAGAAGTTCCTCCTGAGTTTCGTATTTATGCTCTATGCCACCATTATATCTTCCTCTAAGATCAAGAAAACAGCTACAGCACAGGCAGAAACACTGACAGTTGCTGGGTAATTTTAATACAAACCCATACTTGAAACAGGAGCAGCTTAGAGAGATCCACATTTTTTTAATATCCTAATACTTTTCCAGTTCTTTAAAAGCAGAAGTTCATTGTTGCCCCTGGACATCCATATTTTACTGTTGTTTTATTTGTTACTCCAGTTGAGAATTCATTTATTTCCAGAGCAGACAATAGTTTGTTTGTTTCAACATCAGAATGAAAAATGCAACTTTATTGGGAAAGCAGCCTGAAGCACAGAGCTGTTGTGTGAGTACAAAAAGGAAAAAAAAAAAAAAAAAAAATCTTTATCGATCCCAATTGTCTATACTTCTATGAAATGAACCAAAGCAGCTTATTTTATCTTCAGATGCAGGCAGGTCAGTGAAAAATATGCATATGAATTCAACAACAGAGCCCTAGGTCAGTTAAATTGGTGGTCACAACACAGTTTGACAACAAAGTGTGCATTTCAGTATACATACAATACTTAAGAAACCAAAAACACAACACAACACAGGACACTTAATGCACCACGCATATGCGCCAACTTCAACCCATTTTCTTGTTTTCTAGCAAGAAAGCGTCTGTGAGGGAAACAAAAAGAAACAAACACATATTAAGTGGAAGAATACTAATACTGTATCTGACTGTAAGAGCCACAATTAACCCAAGCAGATCTAGAGAGCCACAGCACAGCATTGTAAACTCCAGTAACAGCACAGAAGACAGGAAGCAGAAGACAGTAATGCTTTCAAGGTGCCACAACATTCAACCATGTCAAATCAAAACATAAGATGCTCTTGGCCATAACATGCACATGTTAGAAATCATATCACTTTCATACCATAAGGCAATTCCAACGCTACATCTATGAGACTGCAATGCTACAGTATGATGGAAAGCACAGCAACAATAGTGGGGTAGCAAAGTCCTATGCTGCAGCAACTGAGCAAGAGCCCAAATGCAGCAGCTGTGGGCACAGAAACAAATGAAAAAAAAAATTGCTTACCCCTGGAAGGCCTCAGGTATGCAGGCATCTCCAGCAAGAGATACCCTCCCCTCTGCTGCCAGCCCTTAAATGAAGTCTGGGAAGGGATGGATCCTGGCTCCAGCCCTTCCAATCACTCAGTACACTGCATGCACCTGAGATCCTCTGGGCTGGCCACCAGGTGCTCCATCACTGCTTCAAGCTGTGACTCAGTATTTCCACTACAGACTGATTTTAACAAAAGTCTCATAGTGTCTAACAAGACGCTAAAGAAACTAGCATCTTGAAACTAGCTATAAATTTCCCCTTCCTCACTCATAAAAAACAAAAACATACAAAAGCAAACCTTCAAAAAGTCCTTCAGATCTGTCTGTCAGCTTTACTGTGTATGTGCAGTTTAATTCCTTCTCTTACCCCACATCTACTAAGCAAGGTTTTTGCTGCAGTTTTTATTACATATGACACACGCATATACTCAGTAGTCTATCTGCTGCTGTGAGCAAACTATGAGGCTAAAGTAATACAGCTAGAGGAAGCAACCTGCCACAAAACTCTCACACTGCAATAATGGCTTAGGCTACAACAAAGATCCCTGCCAGTCTCAGATACATATTTTTGTTGTATCACCTACACAGTGCTGATGACCATATATACCATAGTGTACACGTAGTCCTTCCAGTTCACATGAAGACTAACTTCCCTGCAGACAGCTGAGCAAATAGCTAAATGCATGTAGTCAAATACTACATGAAAATGCTGAACACAACAGGGTCACATTAAAAAAATATATAAATTATATACTTGTTGCTGCTTAAGAATGCCAGAAAAACAGCTGCTAAGCCTCTGCAGTTCTATCAGTAACAATATTCTTTAACTCTCTACTAACTGAAAAAATGGCTTACCTCATCACTGCCGCAGCACAGTCTACACACTCCTCCAAGAATACCATTGATTATCTGTATGGAGCACAGGATGAACTCTATTCCTCCCAACACCAAAAGAATGGAAAAGAGAGTGACATTCCACTGCACGATGTTTTGAGGTTCTTGACATTTAGACCACTCATTATAATCCAACAAGTACCTGTACACATCAAATGAAAGTATAGTAAAATTGTGTCAGATTAGGATGCTGACAATACAATAGAAATAAACTTCATCTGGTATGCAATTGCATTAAGGATAATCACTCTAAGAGGGAATACAAAATGTAAGGGTTCGTTCCATGCAAATCCTGCTCTGTTTAAGTATGTGTTGAACTATGAATCACACATTTTGGTTAAGTCTTAATTTCCATTAAAACATCTGATTTAGAAAGGCAAAATCTTCTACTATTGATCAAAGTAAGATACAATG